CTCGTTTGCCACCTTATGTTATATAAAAAAAAAAAGTACTAATATAATGAAACGTAAACATACTTTGTTATGTATTATTCCAGTCACAGTATATTATTAAAAAATTCTTTTTTTTAATAAAAAGCCCTACATACGACACGCTTTAGGATATATATTTTCAAGCTATTAAACTAAGGGAGTAAATTTGTCAAATCATGCGGAAAAGGGACAAAAAATACAAGAATCAAAGAAACAAGATTGCTGGTAACGGTAATTGTTGTCAAATGTGTTTGTTTTTTAAGTAATTTAAATATTTTGCGACATTTCTGACATTTAACATAACAAAAAATATATTTTTTTTTTTGTGACTGAATGGCCACTGTTTGCCTTGAAGAGGCATTTACAGATTCACCGGGCTTGAGGTGGCCGAGCGCAAGGCGCTTAGCCTAAACCTCGTTTATGAGTAACTAGGCTCGAGGGCTCCCTCAGGAGCCTCGGCAGGATCCGTTACTTCGTTATTATTACCGGATTGGGAGGCCACCGAGCTCTTAGATCGCTGGTGGACGCTCCATGGAGTGACTAGGCACAAGGGTCCCCGAGAGGGGACCTCCTTGGGCTGTCACTCAATACGCGTTTAGCATTTCAAGGGCGCCCGAGAGGGCCGAACCTCGACCTGATCGGTTGCTGCTATCTGATTAATAACAAAAAATGTGTGTTCATGCTTTATTATATTAGTACAGATATAGATAGTTCGGTAACAACGCCATCTATATTTAAAACCTACTCACCATCACAACCGAAGTGCGTCTTAATAACAACAATAACCTCATTTAAATCTTTGGCTCCTGTGATCTTGTATAAGTTCTCAAATACAAATTCCAAATCTGAAATTACAAAATCAATCTTTAAAAAGTGGATTGAATTTACAATCCAATTAAAATTTGGATTGAACTTTTATCCATCCTTTAAACACTACGTTTTTTTTTAAGTTTTTCGACTATAAATAAAACATTTAACAAAAAGAAACCTTATGTTAAGTATGCTACAAATTTTACGCAAACAATTACTTACGATTTCTTCCGCTTTCCTCTATTAGTTCTATCAAAGCGTATTTCAATTCTGAAAATGATAAAATGCATTATGAATTTTTGAACAAAACGATGGAATTGCAAACAGACAACATAAAATAAATAATCACTTACGTTTTTTATTAGTTATTTTCTTAACGATTCTGATACTTGCGGAGAAAGACTGTTGCCGGCAAATTAGATTGAATTTGCGTATCGCTTCACCGAGATCTAGTAAAAAAATGTAAATAAACACAGATAAGGAAACTTTTCATAACAGGGAGATTTAATTCAATAACACGTCCAAACACTTTTCTCGATTTATTTCATTCGACGTATTTAAACAAGTCACTTCACAACTGAACTAATATTGCCTTTTTTGGTTCACTTATGCATTAAAATTCGTGTTGTCAAAAATTTTAATCGGTAATTTATTTTCCGGTTCGCGGAACATCACTAATAAAACTGACAGCTGTCAAAACATATTGTATTACAAAATGAACACCATAAAAAAGTAATTGACAGATTGGAAATTATAACTTTTATTGCTTGTTATATAAAAATATATTTGAATTAATTGAAAATCTATTAAAAAAATACGAACCTTCCGTTCTTGTTCCTGACAGAAGTAACTTGAAGCCTTCTTTGATGTCTGTAAAAAATTATTTCCTTAATATCTATCTCTGTAGACTATTTATCAGTATTTTTGCTAATAATTCTACACTACGATATAGAAAAAATAATTGCGATAAAATGCGAAGAAACACACATTTACTTAAACGCCGTAATTATTAAAAGAACAATCTAAGTGTATTGAAGAAGATTGCATAGGTAGTGCTTAGTTATGGATGAAAATGATGAGAAACGTTATGGGTGGATGGATGGATGGATGGATGGATGTATGTTAGTTACTAAGCATCTCAGCTTAATTTAGCACGGATAAAACATACTCTGGAAAATATGCTACTAAGATACATTTTTAATTCCGGTTAAGAAGTCCCGGATACAAGGTACTGTAAAGACTAACCGATTTCATTTTTCAATTCTAAGAATACAAGAGGCAACTCGGAAGGACCAACTCCTCCTGTTATCTTCAACACTTGAGCGACCACACCTTCAACACCTGGAATAGATTTATTATTTACCACTCCTGAACGTATGACCCTAGTTAAGGGCATTTGCGGATAAAACTACCTCAAAAATATCAAAAATTAAAAAAATTCTGATTAAATTGTTTGCTCGTAGTTTAAAAGAAGAGCTAAACGCATTTAAATCCGAACATATCACAGTTTGTGACATGGGAATTACGATTTATAGCCTTTGGCCCATTGTCAAATTAATTATGATTTTTTTTACTGCCTAAGGACATAAAAAAACAACAAAATACAGTAAAACTAACATTTCTGAAAGTATTATGATGACCTTCATTGTCCTTCAAACATCATACGAAACGAATGACTTACCTGAAGAGTGTTTTCCGTGTACATGTTTGAAGAAATCACATGTTTCGTGAAGACCTGGAAATGATATTCGAATGTTAGCTTAAATACTAGCTGTTGACGCGACTTCGTCTGCATTAATTTATGTAGCTTTTTAATGGTGAAGGATTTTTTGAAACCGGTCCAGTAGTTTTAAAGTTATTTCAATACAGATAAAAATATAAATTATTCCTCTTTATACTATCAGTATACATTGATGTCTCCGTCATAACTTCGCACTAGTATATCTTACTTCTTACTAATAACATAAATACAAAAGTTTAGATGTATGGATATTGCTAATTCTGTCCAAAACGACTGAACGGATCTACATGAAATTTGTAAATTATGTAGAGCGTAGTTCAACATAGACTATTTAACATTTTTTTAAATTATACTTTAACTAGCTGTTCCCTTGCGGCTTCATCCGCATGTAATTATAATCATTTGATTTTATTTTTTTTAATTGTCAAATGTCAAAATTCAAATACATAAATGTCAACCTTGCTTCCTTGATTGGCAGCAACTTACTAGTCTCTTTCCCACATTAGGGTCTTTATCCTAATGTTTAATGGCGTGAAAATATATAGCCTAAAGCATGACGTAAGTGTAATGCTTTTTATTAAAAAAAGAATTATTCAAATATATGCTGTAATTGCTGGCATGTTAGGCAACAAAGAAGTGTGTGTTTACCCTTTATTATAATAGTATAGAAGTATAGATATTACATTAACGGACTACTTACTTGTTCCACCAGACAGTTTCTTAAGAACCTCGTATATGGCCTCTATGTTCTGATGTGCTGTTAATTTTTCCAACACCTCAAACGCTTTGAAGACATCTACACAAATAGATTAATATTTTAAACCAATACTTTTGTAAAATATACAATTAAGAGTTTTTATATTTACCTCTTTCATTTGTAAGTTGATACAATAAATCTAAGATTATCGTTATTTCTGAAACAGAGAAAAAAAAATTTTCAATACTTAATTAAAATGCATACAAAATGCAAAATGACCAGTTTAATGTGTTGCCAATAATCAAGAGTAGGCGACGACAGAAAGAGGATATTTCCCCTACATGTGCATTCCATCCCTTGCCAAATTCACTTCCTCTTTCCATCCTTTCCTTGTACAAAATAGTGGAAAGGAGGACGCATCTGCAGAGCAATCGGCCTGAATCCACCGAAATGAAAAGCGACCGCTGCCCATAAGCACCAGTTACAGAAGCGTTGCCTACCCTCACTTGATGGAGGACACGCACATAAAGAGGACATTTCCCCTTCCTATGCGTCTCCTCCACCGTCAAATCCACTTTTAATTAATAGTATAAATGCGAAACTTTAGATGGATGTTTGTTAGAGTTTGTATCCTAAACTGCTAAACTGATCTCGATTTTTAGCATAAATGTTGAGAATAGTCTGGAAGAACATATAGGTTGTTTTTTTTTAATTTACACTTTTAGTCTTTATTTCATTCTACATAGAGCATACCAGGTGTTCCAGATCTTCCGTCATTTCTACCATCATCTTTCATACAATATCTTATAATAATTTTGTTCGCTTACTTGTGTGTCCTTCGAGTGCTGTGAGGAAGTCATAAGTGAAACTCCAACCTCTCGAACCGCGAAGAGATATTACAAACCTATATACTTCTTCCTCACCTGTGAAAGCATCACACATCTTTGAATTTATTTACGTAAGAAGGCATCACGATGTTTTCCTTCATCGTGACGTCAGGTAAATCAAATGAAAATCTCAAAACACATTCGTACTGTAGGATCGAACTCAGCTGCAAATAAATCAAGTCTCCCTGAGTCACCGAAAGTATTGAAAATGTTTGAAATAGTCACAAATTAACAGCTTCAGTACGACTGAAAAAAGTTTATGTAACTAACCAATACTTACTTTTAAGATTGGCTTTGATTTTGATGTGAGCGATGGCTTTTTCTCTTTCTGTAATAAGAAAATATTGAATTTCTTAAAAATTCCTATAAGCAGTTATAACTTTAACGGGTCTAAATAAGCATTTGCAAAATTCCTTAATTAATCGGATTGTGATAAAAATTTTGGCTCAATTACTCTTTGTTTTACCAATGACTGCATTTTGATAAAAAAATATAGGATTCCAGGAAATTATTTCAATGAAAAACCGGTAATTTTTATTTTAATTACCGATTACAAATTCATTCACATCACTAACGACAAGAACGGCTGTCAAATTCCTAACCTATAAAATATTCAATGAAAATAATTTTGATATAAAGATGGTGTTATTAAATATTCGTTTGAGAATAAACAAATAAAAGAATTGTAATAGCTAATTTATTCTTATTTACAATTGCTGGCAGTGTTTTGGTAATTTAAAAGTTTATTCAGATGTATACCAAGGTTGTTGGAAACGTAGCAATTGTTTAAATAATTATTGTCTGTAAATTACCTCTATTTGATTAAAACATAACAATCCATATGATTGTATTTTAACATTCTGTAATTTATTAATTAAAAGACGAAAGATTTTTAATCTGTATTGCAATAACTTACCGCGTAAACCGGTCAATTTGAAAAGTACCGTTTCCCACTTTTCGCCATCTGTAACACGATAAAATCAATTAAAAACTTTAATAAAATATTCATTAAAATAAAATAGAAAATCGTTAGTAAACGTTTTCATTCAATATTTATTGAAGAATTTTTATGACTTAAATTTCGTAACTTTATTATTTTTTTATTATATTTCATGTAAATATAAATTCAAGAGGTTTACTGACCTTCCCATAATTTTGGATGATGGTTGTGATCTGAAACGAAGGTTTAAATTAAATATTTTTAGAATAAAAAGAAACAAACAGACGTCTTGAGTACCTCCTTCTTTTGGGAAGTCGGTCAAAGATTAAAGCTATATACGATATATCTTACATATAGGATATATTTGCATATAAAAAACTAAAATAAAAAAGATAACCTGTGTAATTTCAATACATTGTCATGTACAAAGAATAAAAAGTGTTATAATTTATTAAAAAACATATTGATTTTTAAAAACGAAACATCCGAACATAACTATTTCTTCTAAAATTAGTTAAAAATAATGTTTTGTACGTGATTATACAATAATACAATGGATGTTAGAATTTTTACGATATAATTGACGTATATAGTATCCCGTTTGTTTATATTTCAGGGAATAACAATTCAGCCAAATTATAAGCCCCTGACTATGTGAATATAGAATACGAATTGAGTTGTAAAAAAAAAAAATAGAATTGAGTTGGCAAAGAGATTTGCAAAGTACATAGAATAGGCATAGTTGAAACTTCACTTGAAATATTTCTCCATGGATATCCAAAACCACATGTCAGAATAATTGCCAGTTAGCTGTCGCTTGCGACTTCTCCCGAGTGAATTTAAAAAATATAGCCTATCCTATACTCAGTGACAACAAAGCCTTTAATAGTGCAAGAATTTTTGAAATCGGTTCATTTGTTTTTGAGTTATTTCAACACTGAAAAAAATCTTTTCTCTTTATAATGTTAGTATCGATAGGTGTCATAAAATAATGTTTATAATTTAGTATTTTATGACGTGTGAGACGGCACTAAATTTGACAACATAGTACCTTTCAGAGAAAGTACCAGTGAAATATCTTATTTACTATGCCCAGTCTATAATTTTTTTAAATGTCTTCGCTTATAACTCAACTAACTTATGATTCGTGTGAGAGAGTCGGCTTTCATATACATCGTTGAGCCGTGAACTAATTTTGTTTTTAAACCACTTGGTTCATAACTACGTCCTCCTTTCTCTTAAGTGGTGGCATCGTATCCACATTTTCTTCCAAATAACATTTAATTATCAACCACTTCAACATAATTAGAAAAAACCAAGCAATTAAATACAAAATAATGAAAATGTAATTAAATGTTTAAAACGAGCAATGCTATGGATTGGGTCGGATCGGATCTGATCTTCCACGAGTACCTTTGGGATCATCCACATATCAGAAGCGGCGATCAAAAATTGATTATAAACCTGATTTTTAGTACAATTTTGGAACGAATCGGAACAAATTAAAAAACTGAAGTCGCTTTAACGTTTTGTAGACATCGAGATATAACAGAAATAGCAGCTTTGAAATGTGTGAATAACCCCGTCTGCGCAATTTGCGACTTGATTGGTTGTAAACAGAGATGAAGTTGGTCCGTTGCAAGCAATTCTTTATATTGAACACTGCGGATTGTCATCACTCTTGTTCGCCCATACCAACTAACCACATTTCGTAGCATAAAGCCCGCCACAGACGCTGAGTTCCAACTGACCAATATCATTCGAATTGTACGTTTAAAATTTTAACGAAACAATTCGATTATTCAGTTACAACTAAGCCAAGCAAAGCCGTGCCGCAAAACTTGTAGCTCGCCAATAACGGAATTATTATGAAATTTTGCTATTGATGCGTGACCCCCAACACAAATTCACTCATATTTTCTTCACACAATCTATACTTCCACCTTTAAAATAATGTTTACCTTTTTGCGGTTTGTTTTTGTGTTCTTTATGACCATGATTTTCATGAGACTCGTGGTGTTCTGTGTGTTGTTGGTGTTTTTCTGTATGTTGTTGGTGTTGTTCTGTGTGCTGTTGGTGGTGTTCTGTGTGTTGTTTGTGTGTCTCTTTCTTTTCTTGATGTACTACTTGTTCGTGGTGCTGTTCTGTGTGTTGTTGGTGATGTTCTGTGTGTTGTTGGTGCTGTTCTGTGTGTTGCTGGTGCTGTTCTGTGTGTTGCTGGTGCTGTTCTGTGTGTTCCTGGTGCTGTTCGGTGTGTTTTTGAATTTTTTGGTGCTGTTCTGTGTGTTGCTGGTGCTGTTCTGTGTGTTGCTGATGTTGTTCTGTGTGTTGCTGATGTTGTTCTGTGTGTTGCTGATGTTGTTCTGTGTGTTGTTGATGTTGTTCTGTGTGTTGTTGGTGTTGTTCCGTGTGTTGTTGGTGTTGTTCTGTATGTTGTTGGTGTTGTTCTGTATGTTGTTGGTGTTGTTCTGTTCGTACTTCTTGAGTTTGTTGTTGTTCTGTTTGTACTTCTTGAGTTTGTTGTTGTTCTGTTCGTACTTCTTGAGTTTGTTGTTGTTCTGTTCGTACTTCTTGAGTTTGTTGTTGTTCTGTTCGTACTTCTTGCGTTTGTTGCTGTTCTGTTCGTACTTCTTGCGTTTGTTGCTGTTCTGTTCTTACTTCTTGAGTTTCTTGTCGCTCTTCTGTACGTACTTCTTGAGTTTCCTGATATTCTTCTGTGCGCACTTCTCTTTGTTCCTGTCTTACTACTTTTACTTGTTCCTGTTGTTCGGCTATAACAAAGATTAATGGCACTCAGAGTCATTTAAGTCCCACTTAGTACAGATTTAGTCCGACAAATCTACACTAAGGGTTCCTCTTAGTGACCAATTAACGTGGATACAGCAAAAGTTTTATTTTTAATAGTTATGTTCATTTGGTTCGCTTGTGTAAGTCGAAGATTTCTTATGAAAATTTTAAATTAAGAATATTTTATTTACGAACCTTCATCGTTAACGGAATGTCTCACCACTTTTATATTGTGGCCTAAAATATTAAAATAATAGATTAATTTACTTGTTGTTTTTTGAAATCAGAACTAAAAAAAGTTGATTTTTTTTAGAATTTCGAAATTAATTGTCGACATTTCCTCGCGACTCTCTCATTGGTCGAAACATGACGCTTTAAAATGATATTGTTCACAAAAATTGCCAACAGCTAAATTATACTTGTAGGTCTATAGAATTGATAGCTGTTGCCCGCGACTTCGTCTACGAAATATTAAGATAAAAAGCAACCTATATGCCCTATGTCAGCTACCGTCCAGTGAAAGTCCGGTCAAAATTGGCCCAGCCGTTTCGGAGGTTACCCGGATTAAACGCGGCTTGCGGACAGACAGACAGACAAAAATTAAATGCGATATTCGTTATCAGCAACGCAAATACATGCCAAAATCTGGAATGTTTCTTTTTAATATTACAGACATTCCAATTTTATTATATATAGATAACATTATCCGTTACTTCCAAGAACATTATGAGAGTCAGAATTCTTGTTTAGCGTTTTTATTTGTTGGTAAATTGACATATATTTAGACGATAAAATATAAACTACTTACTATGTGGATCCGCCGCTACCTTCGTTGCGAAGATCTGTAATTTAATAACAATATATAAAAGCATTCTCATCAGTGTGGGATCAAAAACTACCCTACTATATCTATTATATAAAATATCTTCATTACATGTCCCCTAACTTTTTCCCCAGAGGGGAATGCTTTATGCATACTCCGTGCCTCGGGGCAGGCAGGAGAGTTATGTAGGTTTCTCCCCATAATGGGGCATACCCACTAAACCCTTCTGTTCCCTCCTGGCCAGTGGAACTCCACGGGATCGCGTCGCTTGCCACCGCGACGTCCCACTGGCGGCCTTTGACGGGGCCCTTGTTGCGTCCCACTTAATTGACGGCACCGTGCAATGCAGGTTCGGGACCCCGCCCTCGCCTGCTGGTGCCGCCAGGGTTTGTAGAACCTCCACCTCGTGAATATTTCCCCTACCTCGAATAAGGTTAGGCAATGCATTTGCAATTGCGGATGTCTATGGGAAGCGATTGTTACGTTATTTTGGTGAATTTATACATAACTAGCCGTTGCTCGCGACTTCGCCCTCGTGAAATTAATAATTAACAAAAAACAGCCTATGTTACTCACAGATAAATTATCTTTCTAACGGTTTTTTATAATAACAAGAGGCAAACGAGCGGCGAGAACACCAAGGTGGTCATCCGCAACACCAGAGGAACTACAGATGCGTTGCCGACCTTTGAGGAAATAGGCACGCTTCTTGAAGGACCCTAAGTCGTATTGGTTTGGAAATACCGCCACTGACACTGTTCCACAACGCGGCTGTGCGGAGCCGAAATTCCGCGAAAAGCGCACGGTTGTGAAATGCCAGCCATCATGGTGAGGATGGTACCGGGCGGTATATCGTGTCGTCCTATGACGAAATTCGGCAGTAAGAATCGGTGAAAGAATTTTTAAAATCGGCCTCGTGTTTGAGTTATTTCAATACATAAAAAAATATAAATGTTTCCTCTTTATAATATTAGTATATATTTACTTACATTAAGTAGCGCCAACAAAATGAAGCCTCCGTATACCACCTTCATCATGTTATCAGTGGCCAGGCGTTACCTGACACCACTGCTCAATACAGGTCGGAATCCAATTTATATAAAAATAGGGACTATATAAAAACACTTGTGCAAATTCTACCAATTGCGGAACTAATCAAAATACTCGAAATAATATTGACTTTATTCAAACTTTTTAAAATGTATTAACTCGGTAGGGTAATTTTATAAGGAACCAAAGAGCTAGATATTTGAAAAATAAACAGACGAGACTGTATAACAAGCATCACCTTTCGGATAAAAAATGAATTATCAAAATCGGCCCACTAGCGGCAGAGTTATGCCGTAACACACATAAAAAAAAATAAAAAAAAAACATACAGACGAATTGAGTACCTCCTTCTTTTGGGAAGTCGGTCAAAAATTCACCGATACTAAAAGGTACTACAGTAGAACCTCAGTAACTTAAAAACCTTTATAACTTCAAAAAATATGTCCCCTTCCCATCAGAGCCCAAAACCTCTAACATAGACCCTTGATAACTTAAAACCTATAACTTATAATATTTTGTGTTTCCCTTGGACTTTAACTTATCGAGGTCCTACTGTATATCAGTTGTCAAGTTTTCGTGTTGTATTTACATGTAATAAAACATTTTACTAAATTATAAGCTCCGTCTTTTGTTATAAACATTTAAATATTTACTAGCTTTCGCCCACGACTCTGTCTTTGAATTTAAAGAAACAAAAGTGAAAAGCCTATGTGTTCTTCCAGACCATTCTCTACATCGCAATCCGTTCAGCAGTTTAGGCTACAAACTCTAACAAACGTCCATCCATCTAAACTTTCACATCTATACTTCTATACTATCATAATAAAGCGTAAACACACACTTCTTTTTTACCTTAGATGTCAGCAATTACAGCATGTTTTTGAATAATCCTTTTTTTAATAAAAAGCCCTACACCTACGTCACGCTTCAGGCTATATATTTTCACGCTATTAAACTTAGGGGGTAAATGAATTGGATAAAAACCCTAATGTGGGAAAGAGACCATATATTTCTGCCAACATTGAGGAAGCAAGACTGTCAAGTTTTGTCATGTCATGTCATTTTCACATTTGCTATTGATAATTTGACAAATGTAAACAGAAAGTAAATTTTTCACAATTTCATGCGGATGAAGCCGCACGGGAACAGCTAGTTTATAATAATAGTAAGAAGTGAGATTAAATGAAACGAAAGGAAAATGTATTTATTGCCACAAAATAGAAATTACATAAAAAGACTTCTAAAGGAAACACAATCGTGGCAAAAGGTAGCCAGCTCAGCGTATGCAGGACGGAATAAACCGTTCCTGCGCTGATTTTCAGCTGGCTCCTTCGCACTCAAGTAACATATAGCTTAATTAGGTAACCGGCCGTACTAATTACATACCTTTACAGAAATAAAAAAACACACTTTTAAAAAAAGAAAAAAAAATATCTTAATTAATAGAAACAAACAAAAACAATCATACTAAATTAAAAGGCGGATGAACATACTGCATTTATAAATATCTTTACAAATTTTTTAACAAAAAAAAAACATAAATTATTATGGGTTAATTTGGGACTCCAATAATATTTTTTTACATTTTTTAGCAAACTAAGATTGGCAATTACCTTTCAGAGAAAGTACCAATGAAAATATTTTTTGCACTGTCTAGTCTATATGTTTTTAATGTCTTTGGATGTAATAAAGATATTTCAATGACGTAAGCAATAAGTAACGTATTGATCAAACAGAAACACGACAGCTGAATATTCCATATTGCAAATAAACTAACCTAATTTACGCAATACATTTGTATTAAAACTAGATGTTTCCCGCGACTTCGGCCACGCAATCATCATCCACTTGCCCTTATCCCTTATGGAGGGTCGGCACAGTATGTGCTGCTCTTCCATACATCTCTATCAGCCGTCATACCTGAATCCACTCCTTTCTTAAGCATATCCTCTTTCACACAATCCATCCATACTTTCTTCGGTCTTCCTCTTCCTTTGTAGCCATCCACATTCAATCTTAACACTTTCTGGTTTATGTCATCGTCTCGTCGCATAATATGTCCATACCACGCTAACCTTTTGCTTCTCAATTTCTCCACCACTGGCGCTACTTTCAAACATCCCCTAATGTACACATTCTTAACTTTATCCAATCTTGTCACACCACACATCCATCTTAACATACGCATCTCAGCCACATGCAATCTCCTTTCATCCGCAACTTTGGTGGCCCAGCATTCAGATCCATACAATACGACAGGTCTTATGATGGACTTGTAGATCTGTCCCTTAAGCCTAAGAGGCATTCTTGGATCACAAGTCACACTTGTGATCCAAGAATTCGGCCACGCAATGTTAAGATAAAAAAGTATAATAGCCTATGTGGCCGTCTATCTCAGCTACCCTTCAGTGAAAGACCGGTCGAAATCGGCCTAGGCTTTTAAATGCGATGTTCGTTAGCAACAACTCAAATACATGATCTGAAGCGAGACTCGAGCGTTTTTTTACCTATACTAATATAAAGAGGAAAGATTTGTATTTTAGTATGTAATTAAATTTAGTATGTAATATTTTAGTATGTAATAAAATTTTAGTATGTAATCAAAAATTATTGGGCCGATTTCAAAAATTCTTTCAAAGTTAAAAACTACGTTATCAGTCACATATCATACTAATATTATAAAATAGCTCTTCCCGTGCGACTTCGTCTGCCTTGAATTATAAAAATTTCGTATTACTGGTCACATTTGTTAAATTATCAATTGCAAATGTCAAAATGACATGACATAACAAACCTTGGCAATCTTGCTTCCTTGATGTTGGCAGCAACTTATGGTCTCTTTCCCACATTAGCGTTTTTATCCAAAATATTTACCCCTAAGTTTAATAGCGTGAAAATATATAGCCTAAAGCGTGACGTAAGTGTGTGTTTCCGCTTTATTATA